GGGCAATCTCAAAACTGCTTATCTATGGGTCAGAGGTCAACTGGTTCCCACAAGAAACCTTATTTTTACGTTTCCACAGGTGCATCTGCTGCGAAGGCTTTTTAAAAAAATGGTCATGTACATGATATGGGGCATTTTAAGATGAGAACCTTTCAGTGCTACTGCAAAGGGTGCATCTCAGAAAATTAAGATGGTTTTTGAGAACCTTGGACCCTAAACTGTATTATAATCAGGTTTTTATCATTTGAATGTAGTCATTAGGATACACATGTGGTGTGTGTATTGATTTTATCTCTGTTTCCTGAACTTTGATCTGTCTGCATGATTTAATGGCTTCTAAGTACAAACAAAACTCACCGCCTTAGCTGTAGGGACTGCTACAGCAAGGACTCCGAATCCAGTAAAACTTACATTCCCTTAGGTGAGGTGCTCTTGCTTTGCTTTGTTTAACTACTCTATCTTTGTACCAGACTACCTGGGAAATAGTAAACATCCAATATGTTTGTGCAGTGAACAAAAGCATCCAAATCTCTCACTGACATATTGAAATTACTGCACAGCTGTCGTGTTTTACAAAGGAATGTTTACAACCATTTTTCCATTTGCGTGTTGCATAATCCCATGAGGTCTAGGGAAGATTTTGTCCCCATATCATAGCTGTGAAAACCAAGGCTCAGGTTAGCGGGCTTTTCCATAACCACATGGACGGCGAAGGGAAAAGATAACGAATGAACCTGGTCACTACTCCATGCTCCACGTAAACCGGTGTCAAACCATAGTTGTGTGCTATACGCAAGGGGATGAAATGTATAGGGTGGGCTTTCAAGTCTTTATTTGATTAGAAAATAACTTCTCACTGTGAAAAGAAATGGAGTTCGGAAATCAGATGCAGACTCGTGAGGGACTATATTTAGTAGCTCAAGTCCCTCTAAGGGGAGCAGCACTACAGGAAATGAAATCAGAGAGAGCCGTGCAGGCTGTGGGTGAAACCCATACCCTGGTCTTCACAGAAGTACTGCTGATCGCTACCACGAGTCCATCTCAGAGGAGGAATGGTTTTTAGTGGGAGAGAACAAGGCACGTCCCGAAATTCACACCCAGTAAGAAGGAGGACTAACACTCACATGTGGAATGTTCCATTGATTTCTCTTCCCAGTGAGGGTATGACTTGGTGCATAAAACCCTCTACACTTACAAAGGGCTGGCAGAAGCTTGTCCACAGTGATGTGCAATGTTCCAAACCCTTCATTCTCATATTCCAAAGTGCATATGTTTGTTGCCCACTTGGCAAAGCGTAAATGGGTTCTTTGTGCTTTGTCACATCCGTTACATGAGAAAGCAGAAGCAGGGCTTGTGCCTTGCAAGCAGCCTCTAGAACAGAGGGACAAATTCAGGGACCCCGGGCAGAGAGCAGCATTCAAGGAGAGGGTCCTTGAATATTGGAGAAATGCAGATTGGAGAAAGATGTCCGTCAACCTGGGGTTTATTTTTGTTAGGACAAGCTGACCCTGCAGTGGACTCCCAAGTTCCTTTGAAATCAGTGTTTGGGGAAATATTTAGCAGCTTCTAAATATTTGTGGAAAGTATTTCTCTTAAGGCTGAAAGGAGTAGCCTCTTGACTTTTTGTTCATAAACCTTGTTTCACTTTTCTGCAAATGCTCAAACGAGATAGAGCTGCTACCCTCTCATAAATTTGGGCTGCTGCTGATAAAATAATTTTTGCCATTGCTTAATCACTGATAACATGTTGGCAGTAGGTTTCAAAATGTGCTATCCATATGAGGTGTGGCCTAATACCATGGCTAACGTTCTCAGTCCGCACACTCGTCTTTGTGCTGCTAATCACAACCCAGTAGGGCCTTCCTGTCACCAGGTGTAGGGCTTCCTGGGATTCACCACATTCGTGGGAAGCCATCTTCTCCCTCTGGAACAACTGCCTAGGAAGTGGCCAGCTGTGTAAAGCATCAGCCATGTGATTACTCATAACTGCGGAATGCTGACTTGATTGTAATAATAAATGGAGCTAACAGAGCAGAAAGAAATGTTCAAAACAGATTAAAACCACGGCTTTGAAATGTTCTCCATCCTGAGCACTGGTTAAAAATACATTTTAATCTCTGATCATCAGAACAATTCTTTTTCTCCCCAAGTTGAATCATAGGCCATAGTGGAGTGAACCACACCCTGACCCCTTTCCGTCCTTCTCCTCTGTTGGACGTGCTTTAACTATCGGTTTGGTGTGCGGAAGCCAAAATCGCCGTTCGATTGTTTTGGTCGTGGAGACACTGGGTTGATTTTATGGTGATCTCTGAGACAGCTCTGTAGAGAGAGGCTGAGCTGGCATCCAGTAGGAAAGGGAGCCCACTGCTTGCAAAACACCAGCACAATCGCCTGCTGAGGGTAGTTAGCACAGGCCGATCTCTCTGTAAAGGTCGTTTATGAGCTCAGCCCAGGGACAGGGAAAGCAAAGAATGTCCAAAGTGGCAGGGCTTATTCTTGTGGAGGCTTCCAGACCCAGCCAACTCGCTCCCATTATGTGTGTGATCTCAAGGGGACCCGTGAGCAGGGAAAAACAGAGGGTGTTTTGCTGACATGTGGGTTTTCTTTGTTAGTGCTTATGTTCAATGTCCTTTCTAAGTATGCGCTGGTTATTTTGCTGGGGTGGTGAGCAGCACAGGCTGTCAGAAGCAGGCTCAAGGAGTCCTGAAACTGGGAAAGGAACTCTCCACTTGCATATGTGTACGTGTAAAGGGTCACAGGAGGCTCTTCCTGAAGTCCCGGTTTTGATAGCACTGAGGGGCCCACACAAACATCAGCTCCTGCTAATGAAAATAAGCCCGAAGCAGTCAGCCTGTTTCATTCCTTTGCAATTACAGCCCTTGTGCTCAGCCCTCTGGGAAACAGCAGTTTCATTCATTTTGGCCTTTCCCCCAGGGCTGGGGGCAGTTAATCAGACAAAGAAATCATTATAGATTCAAATCATGCATTCTTCCCCCAAAGTAGGCTTCTTGTTCTCACTCTCTCTGCCCAGAGAACTCTTGAGTGATTTCCCTATCAGTCAGCAGAGGACCTGAGGGTGGGCCAGGCCCGGGGGAGGCCAGGGAGCTGCTTCTCTGGCTTGGGCTCTGAGTAAAGATTTGTGTGCCTATAAATGGGGGTGGCGGATTGTGAAGAGCTCAGATACCATTGTACGTGAAAACTGTCGCCCAGTGTAGCCTGTCTTCCACAAATTCAATGTTGACTGGACCTGAAGATGGGAGATCAATAACTTCTGTTCAATACTGATGTTCCTCTCATCCCTGCCCACACACACACACACACACACACACACACACACACACACACACACACAGAGCCTAAGGGGTTCTAAGTAGAAGTTGGATCTGTTGATCCAGTGAGTAGTGGGAAGCAGAACAAATTCTGTACAGTTCCCTTCATTAGGAGACTGCAGAGCACATTTCTAGAGATTGTATTTCCCCTCCCTCTGCAGAGGTAAAACCTTTGTACTGGATGCCTAATCTTATAAAATACTCAGTTTGCAAAGTCGATGGGAATTCTTAAAAATCTAAGTAGAAAATCTGTAAACTCAACTTTCATAAATAAAATGGCTTTCTGTTAAGACCCTTCATATGTACCTATATGTAAGCGTTAGGAAACCAGACTTCATATTGTATTATCTGCAACACTACCAGAGAAAGCAGAACATTTGAGAGACATAAAAAAGAGGAAAACGGGGGACGGGGAATGATTCTGCAGCGGTCCATTCCGTCCACCTCTGTGATTCTGGCTGATGAAACAAGCAGAGGTTTATTGGGTGATTCAACTTGTGTGTTCCTAGGTCAGAGGGAGCGCCTTTGAAAAGGCAGCTCAAGTTTACAGTTCATCCCCACCCAGGGAGGCTGTTTTCCATCTCTAATCATAATAGATTCCAAGAGCTGGTGATTAAAAAACAACCATGGGAAGGGCTGAAATTGCTTCAGTATGTCCTTTTTTTCTTCTCCCACCCTGTCTTAGGTGTACGGAGGCCCTGACTTCCACTCCCCCAGGCTAACCCAGCTGTGCGCGCCGAGGTCCTCAGTGACTCCCATTCAGGTCTCCAGCACCGGAAACGAGCTGACAGTCCGATTTAAAACCGACAGCTCGGTCAATGGGAGAGGCTTCAATGCCTCTTGGGAAGCACTCAGTGGAGGTGAGTGGGGAAAAAGGAGGTACCCTTCCGTACTCCCCCAGTTCAGCTTTAGGAAATGATTGGAGAAAGTTTTGAATCAAGTCCCTGATGACTTTGGGACTTCCCAAATGGCTAATACTGCATTGGCATGTACACTTCTCTAAAAAGTGGCATAGAGTTTAATTTTCTGCATTTCCCCATGTACCTGAAAACAAAGATACAGTCGCGCAAGTCCGTGATGAGAGAGGAATCGGGGGGCATTGGCCACACTCTTTTGCTTGCCACAGGACTCGTGCCCACTTTCCAGCCTCAGATTCTCGCATCTCGCAAATACAAACTCTATAAATACTAAATTCGTCAATTCCAAGGAATAACTGTGTTGGGTAGTAACTTTCTGTCTAGAGTTGTAGATAGTCTAAATAGGTTACCTGTTGCTGATTTTTAAATTATGCATTACAGTACAAAATGTTTTAATGCATTAGCTTATGAAACCATTAATAATAGTGATATCTCCAGAATACTTACTATATACCAGCTACTTTTCTAACTATTTTTCAAGGATTATCTCATTTATATTTATAGTTGCACTATGAGGGAAGTCTGTTTCATATCCCCATCTTAAAAGTGGGGAAACTGAGGCTTAAAGAAGTCAGTGATTTGCCCTAAATCTCACAGCTAGAAAAGGCCACACAGAGATGGGACACCAGGCCACCTTATAGCTCCACTTCAACTCCAAGGTGACACAGTAATTATGTGGCATCTCTCTTAAAGCTGGTTACATACGAATTTACACACACAGTGCTGAGATGACCCTTAAATGATTCTTAATTACTAGAACATAATGCTGTTATATTTCTACCAGTGGTTTAGATTATTATAAGCTCAAACAATAATGATAATAGAGATAGATGTTTTACCAACAGGTATTTTATAACATCAAAGGAATTAAAAACAACACAAGTAATTGTACTATATCTAGAACATTAAATTTAAAAGTTTTAAAAGACAGATATTAAATTATTTGTTAAATCAAATGTTACTAGGTTAGCAAGTACTTTGAAGGAACTGATTATTTTTACAATATGCTGTATTTTATTTCATTTTATTTTTTAAATTTTTAAAATTTTTAAATTTTTTTCTGGTACCAGGAATTGAACTCATGACCTCACGCTTGCCAGGCAGGCACTGTGCCGCTGAGCTAAATCCCCAGCCCCTATGCTGTATTTTAGAGAACAGGAAAGAGACATCTCATGGCTTTGTGAAAGCATGACTTTGTTTACATTTATTTTTTATTACTGTTTTGAATAACTTTAGACATCCTTATTACCATATTTGAAGGATTTTCTTAGTATTATACAGTACATGCCTCCTTATTTCTATTGAGATGAATGAATTGGTGTGACTATTCAGTTCTTCAAAGCTTTAAAGTTCTTCAAAGACCAAATAAAACTAACAGTCAAAAAAAGTAGCATGTTGACCTACACTATTAGATCAGATAATGCTAGCTTTATGCATCAGTGATTCCTCTCACTGTTAAATGGGGTTTCTCACTTACAGGTTGCGGTGGGATTTTCCATACTCCCAATGGAGAGATTCATTCTCCGAATTACCCCAACCAATACAGAAGTAATACTGAATGTACTTGGGTCATTCAAGTTGAGAAAAATCACCACATCCTCTTGAACTTCACTGACTTTGACCTGGAACTTCCAGATTCTTGTATTACAGTAAGTGAGAAAAATTTCAAGTATTATCTTCAGTCAAACTTGGATCAAAACCTTGTCAGATGAGTACATTAACTGACTTTATTTGCTGTGAGTATTTTCTGGTCAAATCACCAGAAAGCCAACCACTAGCACTTAAAATATAAGGACATTTACTTTTTACTAAAAACAGAACAGGAGGTAATCAGTATCCAGGGTTATTCAGCAGCTCAGTGTCTCCCCTGCCATTTTTGGCTTTCATTGTATTTGTTACTTCATCACCGGGAAAATGGCGACAGTATGTTTCTTGTTTTGTTTTTCCTGAACATTCTTTGTGTGTCCACATCTGGAGAAAGGGACACGGAAGAGTGCTGGCTGTTGCTGCTTTGTGTATTTGTGTGTGCAGGTGTTTTCATTAGGAAAGCAAAATTTCTCCAAAACCCCCTCCCATATCACTGGTCAGAACTGGATTCAAAGGAGATCAGAGAAGTGGAGTAAAATATATTTGTCACAACTAATTTAGATCAAATATTATTAAGCTTCTGGGGGTTCTCACAGAGTTCTGCTTTTCTTGAGATCTGAATATCCTGATTTAGTATTTGGACAAATGAATAATGGGTAGCAAAAAAAAAAAAAGACTGGAAGATAGGGATGGAAGAGAAGGACTCAGGCAGTTAGTTGGCTATAAGATAGAAAGTTTCTGTTATTACCATGCTTTCTGCTTAATATAGGACTGGATTAAGTTTTCTTTTTTTTGTTTGTTTTCAATTTAAAATTTTGGTTACTGATTTTCTAATGGAAAGTTTTCCAGGGACCATTTGTATTAATAGACATTTCATTCAACTATAAACCAGATTCTCTTGGTTAGTGAAGCTTTCTGTTTTCGCTTCCTGGCAGTTTCTTCTACAATCCCACTTGGCTAGCTCTCTTTGAATTTAAGTTAAGAAAACTCTAACATTTGTTTCATATTTTTTGGAAGGAGTCCAGTCCAGTGGTGTATATTTCAAGTATTACTTTGCAAGACTAGATTGTTGCTAAAAGCTCAGCTGAGTTATGACTATATTTCTTCCAATGGAGCCTTCAGCATCTAAGTTGGCAGAGCATCATACAAACTTAGGGTGTAGGACACCCACTTTTCAAAATGCTAACTTGGAACTAATCTCCTGAAAAAGACAATTTACAATTTTAGATGAAATTTTAAAACATCTTTCTAAATGCAGCAAGGAACTAGAAACATAGTATGAAATTTCCCAGTTAATATCTAAGAGATGTTGGCACAGTGTTTGGAACTGTTTGCCCATGGGGCATTTTCTAACCCAGAAGAAGTTAGCAGCACTTCTGAGAGCCTCTTAGGGCAAAGAAGGCCAGAGTGGGAGTCCAGAACCCGACTAGGGCAAAAGTTCTAGTCAACCACACATCCCACGTAAAATGAAAGTCAAACAGCCTTCGCAGAGACTGCACCCCAGTGTCAAGTTACTAGAAGCAAACCCATTAAAATAAATAAAGATACTAAGTATGTCAAGCATAGGTTTCTAAACAACTATGATTGTAAAGTCATGGAGATAAAGGTCAAATCTTAGAGCTTTCAGCAAAAAACTGCAAGCTATAAAAAGGACGTTGTTTGTGAAAAAGAACCAATTGAAAAATTTAAAAATGGTAAATGCTATAGCTACAATTAAGACCTCAGCCAAAGATGTTTTACTGTTGTTTTTATGGATTCTTTTTCAAGGAGTGAGGGTTGGACTGAAATGAAGAGATAAATAATGACCTGAAAAATAAGTTGGAAGAATCTATCTGGTAAAAAGCACAGACAATCACGCAGATTAAAAATTTAGAGGAGGGGTGAAGACACACAGAGAACACATAGAAAAGGTCTAACATATATTTAATTAGAATCCCAGAAGAAAAGAGAGGTAAATGAGACAAAGGAACAAAGAGCTAATGACAAGGATTTTTCCAAAACCGAAGGAGAACATCATTTTATAATAATTACCCAAAAAGCCAAGCAGGATCAGTAGAAAGATACCTTTTTAAAACTAAAGGTAAATTATAAATGTTAAACTCAGCCAGGGGAGTGGGGAAATACCTTTCAGAAAATGGTAGGCCAAATCCTGACTTTTCCACAAAAAGACAATGGAATGATAGGATGTCCTGTTTGAAGAAAGCAAATAACTAGCAGCCAGGAACTCTATGCTCTCTTAAAATGCCTCGAAGAATAAAGGTGAAATAAACACTGAAGCAAACGAAGAGCTCTGCAAGAGAAGGCAGAGTGAGCCGGAGGTGAACTGGTAGTAGCCCTGCATGCGGGGAGCATTTCTGACCACTTGCTCCCTCCCTGACTTTGCATGACGCAGACGGCAGAGAAGCGGGAGCGCAGCTTCTTTTCTGGGAAAGTCCGTAATACATATGATGTCTTCTCTTTGGTAAAATCCACAATGCACAGAAGTTAACAGGCATAGCCTGTGACCAAAGCCAAGGTCAAAGGCACTCCCATCATGGCTGTGTTTTTTTCCCTCCTGTGGTCAAGAGAAGGGTTTTCCACCTCCGTGGAGTATAAATACACAAGGTTTTCAGTTCACCACAGCCAGATCTCAGCATGCAGCCCCTGGGGCTTGGCTTAATAAATTTAGCAGGAGGGAACAGACAGGGGAAGTGGAACTTCAAATATGATCTGGTCAGAGGCATGGAAAAGGGAAAATAAACGCATAGACAGGTGCTGGGAAGAGTGCAAAACACAAAATGTTATTATTGTTGAACTGTTGTTCCAACAGTTTGCCAGTGTTAGTGAAGCCTGTATGAAGTTGTCAGAATAGCTCAGGCAGCAGGCAGGAGGCATCAAGAAGCAGATACCTCTAAGCACTTGAGCAAGCCAGTGACAAAAAACAGGAACTCACCCAAACTGTGAGTCCCCGGGATCCCACGGCTGAGAAATCTAGCTCCCTGGTGGAATGAATCTGGGGTTGAGCCTGGACTCTGCCATTTCCAACTGTGTCACCTGAGAGAAAGTTAAATTTTCAGCTTCCATTTCATTAAGTAGAATAAGAGGAATGTGACATATTTGTCATTGGGATATTTGAGACAACATAGTGACTTGCTTGCTGTTGTATAGAAAGTTAGCAATTTGTGCTAGCCATGAACATGGGCTGCTTCTATGAGTGCTTTGTTTGGAGTTAGCATGACGTCTGCTCCTCCCTGGTTCTGGGTCTCCAACTCTTCAACAGAAGAATGGTTTTCATAGTGTAGCAGCAAGCACTTAGCACACTTAGAACTCAATTCCCTGTCAGCATCGCCATGAAAAAGTGGCAAGAGTTGTTCATTCAAGCCTGGAAAGAGAAAGGTTTTATACTACAGGTGACATGTAAGTGACAGAGTCTCACTGATAGAAATATGGCGGTGAGCTGGGCGTGGTGATACATGCCTACAGTCCTAGCTAATTGTGAGCCTGAGTAAGGAGGGCTATAAGTTTGAGGTGAGCCTGGGCAACTTAGTGAGAGCATGTCTCAAAATAAAATATAAAAGGCTGGGGACATAGCTCAGTGGTAGAGTGCTTGCCTAGCATGAGCGAGGTTGTGGGTTCAATCCCCAATAATCCAGGGAAAGGAAGGAAAGAAGGAAGGAAGGAAGGAAGGAAGGAAGGAAGGAAGGAAGGAAGGAAGGAAGAAAGAAGGGAGGGAAGGAAGGAAGGAAGGAAGGAAGGAAGGAAGAAAGAAAGAAAGAAAGAAAGAAAGAAAGAAAGAAAGAAAGAAAGAGAAAGAAAGAAAGGAAAGAGGAAGGAAGGGACCTTGGGAAGGTCAGTGGAGAATGTGGAGAAAGTGGTGATGCAGGAACCACGGTGAAGCCGTGTGTGATGAGTGACCCAAGGTGTCAGGTTCTGCAGAGGTCAGCTGGAATGCGGATTGGAACAAAGCCACTGGATTCCTTCTTTGCTAACGTGTAAGGGGCAGGTTTGGTGTTGGGAGTGGTGGGAGACTACTGGTCAGGGTAGTTTAGGAGAGGTAGGAGCTTCTGAGATTTTCTGCAGACTCTGAGAAATTAGTGGCACACAGAAGATAAGGCAAAATCAGTGGGAAGCCACTTCAAAAAATAATGGAGAGGCTGAGGTCATGTGAAGAGGACAAGGTGCTGGTGGAAAAAGGCAGCCGAATGTGACATATAGAAGGAATAATGATGACGTCATGTTAACAGGAACGAGACCCAAAGAAGAGCCAGATGGGCCCTATGAATTTCATATTTTCAGGATGAGAAATTGGAACACATGGCCTAACATAAGCTGTTTTCTGATTTATAAATTTATTTATGAGGAAGTTGTATAAATTGCATGTAAGCTAAGCCATCTTCTCTTATACAAGCAATTAAATTTACAGCGAGACAAAGAAATGTTTTAAAGAGCATACAGGTAAAGCACAAAGAGGTCTGCGATCTGCCGTCTGTGGTTGCCAAGTGGACTCAGTTATGGGGACAGGACGTTTGCAGAGGTTTCGAGCCAGGTTTCGAGCCTGGCGAGGCTAGAAGTTTGGCTCCCAGCAAAGCTTGGTTGTTCAGAGACTCATGAAGGCAGGCATTGAAGCACCAGCCATCTATCTTCATGGCCAGATGGACACCGGATGTGAAATGTACCCTAAAGTCCAATATCTTACATAATAATCTCAGCACTTTGAATTCATACAAAGCCAATCATTCATTCTGGGGACATTCAAATTAATTTCTTGGTCCTACTGCTTAGAAAGAGTCATTAGCAAAGAGAAAAATAATGAGCTGCTGGTGTTGTCAGATAATGTTTCTATTCATGGGATTTTTAATAGAGCTCAAGTGTACCCTTAAATACCGAGGTAAATTATGCTTAGATGGGAACAGCCAATGTTTTTTTAAAACTCCTGTAACAGTTTACTTGTTAGAGTAGAAATATTACTTTAAGAGCCATATGGGCGACAGTCATAAACACATAGATACATGGAATGCAAAAGCTGAAAGAAGAGAGAGAAAAAAAAAAAAAGAAGAGAGAAAAAAGATCTCTTAGTCCCGTC